TAATCTATTTCATCTCATGAAATCAAACATAATTTATGTCTACATGTTATTTCACCATATGAATCAAACACAATTTTCATTTATAATCTATTTCACCTCATGAAATCAAACACAATTTCCGTCTATATGTTATTTCACCTTATGAAATCAAGCATAATTTCCGTCAGTATGTTATTTCACCTCATGAAATCAAATACAATGTTCGTCTATATATTATTTCACTCCATGAAATCTAAAACAAATCATAGAATTAAGAACTTCAATTACACCCTAAATATAAAATTTAGGCAAAAATAGAGATCTTGATAGAGGGAGGGATCTATAGCTTGTGGTCATGACAAAAAGCTAGGTCTGGAGCTTGATGGTTCTTGAAAGAGAGCCAGATCTAAGCTAGAGGACGAGGGCAACAGATACCAGAGAGAGACGATCGTTGGCAAACCTGGAACAAAACGCTAGCAACCTGGACTAAAACGACGACAAGTCTGAGTTTTGGAGGACGGAAGCAAAAAAAAAAACATAAAGAGAGAAAGAGAGACAACCGCCGATGAGATGGAGATTGAGGTTTCGATTGGTTTGATTCTAGGTTCGAAGAACACCTCCATCCCATATACAATTTGTGGGTCCGATGCGGAAGGGGGAGGCAGTGCCGACGGTTTTTCAAGGGGAAGGAGGGATGATGATCTTCATATGCAATCGAGATGCAAATGGGGCAAGTGGTGGTTGGCGTCGGAGTTAGAGTTGTAGGGTGCCAGCGAGGGTGGCCGATGATACACTTCAATCCAAATCTGCATATTGGATTGACTTGGTGAGCCATACTACCCTTCAATCTGCTTTTATTTTCGACAAAAATACCCTTATTTAACCATTTTATTACAAATATGCTTATTTTCTTTAATGACCTTTGATTTTAACTAATCTATGGATTAGAACAAATTTTAAGGTTTTTAACTCTTTTTTTTGTCCTCACATCTATATGATGTTGTCTCAAATCTAAGACTAGATAAAGTATAACTTAATTATGGTTATTAATCCAATGAGTTTTAATTTAACTAAGATATATTGGTTCATGTAACCCCACACGCAAAAGAAAGAAATGTCAAACCTCTCTATTCTATTAATTCCCTTCCAAAAATATAAATAACTTATAATAGTTAGTATTTCAATTCGAGTAACCTTTTTTGGGATAAGTTTCATATATCTTATAACATGACGATAAAAAAAAGTCCATCAAAATTAATAGTAATTTTTATATGTGTCAGATGTTGTTTGTTTACCTCTTAATAGTTCTATTAAGAGGCAACTTTTGAATCGTTAAGAGGTGAACCTTGTTTGGCAAAAAAAAGTCTGTCTCTTAATGATTCTAAAACCCTTTGAATGATTTTGTATCATGGATCTTCTTTAACCATTAAGAGCCCTAATTTCATTGTACACAATTACCAAACAATTATATTTCATTTTGCACTATATCATGAGAACCAGTTAATCATTCTGCACCAAACCATTCAGCAATTGTCAAACAGCCCTTGAGTATTAATTGACAAGATAATAAAGCTCTTTACATACTCAAGTTTTTTTTATATTGAAAATTTATTGTATAAGACTTTTTTTTATAACTCGTTCATGAATAAAAATATAACTAAGTTGAAATACCAAACAAAGTACTAAACAAATAGACCCTTGGCAATCATAGGAAGTCAAAAATGATTTCTAACAATGAGCTTCAAACTATCTTTATTGGAATACCTCTTGAGTTACACATATAAATGTATATATGTGTACATATATAATTAAGTTTTACTCTTTAATATGAAAAGATCGAATTGATCGAAGGGAGCCAAGTTGATGCAAACATTGGGTTCTAAAAATCTCTGCTTCAAGCCGCACATTTAGACTTCAGACGTATTACTTGTACTAGCTAATTAATCAGGTAGTCTATCAATTAACATCATTTAGCAGCTATTGTCCTCTATTTCAAATAGCTAATTACGTAAGGATTAGTATGCCTTTTTTCTTCAACTTGTGTTTATCAATCGATTTTCCTTTGCTACAAGAAAATCGTTCTAAATCATTCTCAATAAAATTTGTCTTTTACAAAATTAATTGTATCAGAATAAAATTATGTTTCATATATTAAAATGAATGGTGGTTCTCTAACTATATATGTATGTACATAATTTTTGTTAGGTAATTAAATATGGAAAAAGTTAATTGATCATCAAACTCCCATTAATAAGTTTTACATCAAAGCAATTTTATAAATATATATTCTTTTAAAAGGAAAGATGTTAAAATTTGTGATGAAAACATTCGAAGGTTTTCTATTTTATCCATAAAAGAAAAAGAGAAACAAAAGTAGTTCATTCTGGGACAATTGTATTGTACACAACTTGACTTAATGGACAAACTTGAAATTTGGGTGCTAGTTTGAAGGACCTATATGTAATTCATTCCATTCATGCCTTCATATTTCTCCCACTCTGATAGAGATATCTAGAGAGAGAGAGAGAGAGAGAGAGAGGGGGGAGAGAAAGTGATGAGATCCCCCAAAATAAGTAGCGCCTATCAATGAAAGAATTAAAGGAAGAAACAGCGTAACAGGAGCAGAGAAAGGAGGGGTTAAGTTGCTTTAATGGCTATGGCGGCGTGGCAGACCTGTAAATTTTTGGTTTCTTTAATGCTCACGTACAACCACAGAATTGAATGAAGGCGTATTCTTTCTTTCTTTCTTTCTCTCATCTTCAAACCAGAATTCAGAATTGAGTGCTCATAGATATCTGATTTGAATTGAAACCCAGAAGAAAAGTCACCAACTTTTATATATTTTTATCTGTTTTTGTTATTTCTCTTTAATAATTAAGCTATCTAGAAATAGGGCTAGGAGGGAGGACATAAATAAAGTTTAGGTTGGATTTTCTTTTGCTATGGATTATTGTGAGTCACAATTGGGGTGTTGTAGTAGCAGTACTTGTCACATAAGCTTAAAGGTGCTGCAGAAGCTATGGCTGGCTTCTTCTCATTAGGATCTGCAACTTACCATAGCCAACAAGACCCTAACACAAACCTCCCTTCAAATCCCACTTCCAATTCTAATCCTACTGAATCCAGCAGCTGGTTTTTGTACAGCACAACAAGGAACACCCATGACCGTCCCACCACCACCGCCACTACAACCACCAAAGATTTCGAACTATGGCAGCAACCCCACGCTGATGGTGTTCATAATCTGTTAACTGGAGGAGCTGTTGCTATGGGCGGTGGTGGTGGTGATGGCAGGCTCATAAATTTCTCAGATGAATCCACCTGGGGATCTGCGGCTTTTGTGATGATGGGGCATGGTGTCAGCGGCGGCGGCAGTGGTGGTGGTGGGGTGAGCTGCCAGGACTGTGGGAACCAGGCCAAGAAAGACTGTCCTCATATGAGGTGTAGGACTTGTTGCAAGAGCAGAGGGTTCCAGTGCCAAACGCACGTGAAAAGCACATGGGTTCCGGCCGCCAAACGCCGGGAGAGGCAACAATATATCTCCGCCACACAACAAGATCAGAGTCGCCGTCGTCCTCATCCAACCACCAAAAGAACAAGATCCTCCCAAGATCATGATAACCCTAATATGGTTCATCCCAATGCTATCGCTTACAACTCCTCCTCAGGTACATAAATTGTTTACCTCAGCTGCTACCATTTTTCATACAAAATCCAAGATTCTTAGATTTACTTTTTTTTATTTTTTTATTTTCAATTAAATTAATTACTTTTTCCTAAATGATTATTTCCAAATTCCTTTAAAATTTGTCTATAATAATCAAGAAACCTAACTGCTTCATTTGGAAACATTACAATACATATGGTATATACATATGGTATATATATATATATATATGGTTTTGTGGGTGCATTCGATCTTCTTCTATTATTTTGATGAACAAAATTTGACTCAGATCTTGTATACAATTATAATTTCATGAGGAGCCAATAATATTCTTGTGTATTACTTCTGTAACTTACATATTTGTTTGAGTAATTATTGCAATATTATTATGTAATCCAGCAAAAACATCATTAAATGAACATGAATATAAATACGAATTATATATCAAGTTCTTCGCTAATCAAACTTCTAATTGCCTTCTCGTGAGGGAATGCTTGACAACGATGATTAAGACTTTATATTATTTTTAGTACCAAACGATTTTTTAATAGAATAGCAATAAACGTGCATAAAATACTCGTATTTAATATAATCACTATGTACCCTAACTCTAAAATCTAAATGTTCTTGATAAATTGAACTTCTGTTAATGACTGTTTGTGTGTTGTGTAACTAGGGTTAGAGGTAGGGAATTTCCCCTCAGAAGTGACCACACCCGCAAACTTCAGATGCGTAAGGGTGAGTTCGATTGATGAAACCGAAGACCAATTCGCATATCAAGCCGCGGTGAACATAGGTGGACATATGTTCAAGGGAATTCTCTATGATCAAGGGCCTGAAGGTCAATACATGGGTGGCGACACCTCTTCCGGTGGCAGTGCTGGTATCCCGCAGCTAAATCTCACCACCGCGTCCCCTGGTAATTCGACGGCGGCTGCAACTTTTATCGGCCATTCTCTATATCCATCTCTTGGTGGCAACGATTACATGACCAGTACGCAATTCTTCCATCAAATTTCAAGAGATTAACCACTCATCAATCATCAAGTAATAACTTCTACACACAAATTGGACTTGTTAATCAATGTTACTTTTCGGCTACCTATGTCTCACCCTACAATTTACTCGAAATTTGAAGGTTGTGATTTTGCTTTTCTCATTTTATTTCTGGTACACATTTCGATGCAAAGTTGAATTTAAGGTCCAATATTATACTCTTGTTCTAAAAATTTCTTGATTAGCATAGGGGTAATGGGCATTTAAGTAGCAGACAACTCCTAGGAGTTCTGTCCATATTGTTTTTTTGGTGTTTTCTTTGTTTGTTCTTTAATAAAAAAATAATTTATTTGGTTTATTTATTTCAATAATTTGTCTCTGTGTCTCATGGTTTGAATTTGCTACAAAAAATTTCTTCTTTTTCTTCCTTCATTTACGCCTTAAAGCTGGAAACCTCTCTCATTCTGTTGTTCTTTTATTCTATTTCTTTGAGCCCTCCAGCCATGCAAGAAAAGTATAACCCCAAAACACACACACACACACACACACTCTCTCTCTCTCTCTCACACACACACACTCTCTCTCTCCAGTTTTGTCCCATTTAAGTTTGTAGAAATTGCTTACTGCTGGTTTGGTTTTGCCTAATGGTTCTTTTTAACAACTGGTTATGGATTCAGGATGGATCAAAAACTTTTATCCTTTTTATGCCTTACTATGTGCTTTGAGCCACGCAAAACTTAACCCACCTTACACTTCATGTCTTTGAGTTCTTAAAGTGTCTACAGTTTTGCAAACGGAGAACCACCATGTGAGAGGATCTTAGAGTTTGACTTTTCCTGGGTCCTAACAACACTGCATTGAGCCCCAAATAAAAAGTACACAAGAGAATATATAAATAGTTGGTTCTTGTTAAATGCAATTTTAAGTTACTGATGAATAATATTCGTACAGCAGAACATAAAAGAGCCAGCATATATTTTAAATTTCTCTCTCTATATTATACCCTTGTTAAAGTTCATTCTGCTTGTTATTGATGCTGCCGTTGTAGGCCAAGAAACTTCTCCTATATGTAATCGCATTTAAATGATCGTTTTGCCCTATGATTCATAAAGAATTAGCTTTTTCAAGTATTGATCGTTAGGGCTCCATAATGTTACTCCCTTTTTAGATAACCTTGTTGGGTATATGTTTTCATTTACTTCCACATCGTTGAAAATGATAACAAGATCAATGTCAAAAGGAGCTGAAACCGAAACAAAGTGAACCCCAAATCTGTAGGTCATCACTCGAACCGGATCAGTTATGGCTAAATTCTGTTGATGATCTTTATTTTCTCATTAGTTAGCTTACACGTTCGTCTTATAGATCATTTTGTGAATGTCAGTTCTTCATTCATCATGTACTGTTTTGACCTTTTCTGGTAACATGATCACGATTACGTTAGGGAGTACGATTCATGTGTGGTTCATCCTCTATCCAATACCATTCTACTTTGTTTGTTTGTATTTGTTAGTTCATGGGATTTAGGTCAAGAACAGCGACGATCACCCATCAATGTGCACTTTGTCTGCCCCACTGAAAGAACGGGTTTAGAATCACCTCTTTACATGAAAACGACACCCAAAATATCAAATGAACTGGATTAGTAAAGAGCTAATACATTAGTTAATGGGATAATCACAAAAAAGCCATTTTCAGAGGGCACGGACATCGCAAATTAGCCAACTTTTTGAGTATAATACAAACTAGCCACGCAAGTCGCAGAGTGGGCATTGCGAATGTGACATGGATTTGCGAGCTAGTCCCCATTAAGCCTCTGAAAAGGCATATTTTTTGTCATTACCCCATAGCACTCAGTCGCAAGACCCTCTCAATACCTCCGAATTTTGGTGCTAACATATATTCCAAAATTGTCTGCATTTGTGTTCAAAGAAGGCAGACAACGAAAGTCGAACAACCTCAGGTATGCTTTCGATCCTAAACTAGATTTGTTACGTTCTAAGACTATATATGTCATATAACCTCAGCTCGCAAAATATGAACAACTAGCAAAAGCCATCATCCATATTCCGCAAGTTGTTTAAAATCATGTTGTTCTTGAATCTTATATGGTAGTTAAATACTTGTATTGATTTGAATTTTAACACACGTTAGCTAGAGCAAAAAACATGCAAAACTCTACATCATAAAACCTTAATTAGGGTTTTGCGAGTTGCTTAAAATCTTGGGTCCTGTAGTTATTTACATATGTTGGTTTGAATTTTAATACATGTTACATAGAGTAACAAGCATGCAAAACCCTAGCTCCATGCCAAAATCCCTGAAACGCCATTAACGAACTCCATGCCCCTCCACCATAAATATGTATCTTAGCTTTGTGATTTTGAGATTTCCTTTCTAATTAATTAAATATAAACAGAAATTGTGTTAGGATCGAAGATAAGCAAAGAAATAATTGTGTTGGGAAATGTAATGGATATATGGATTGATGGATATATTAAAATTTAGCATGAATTGATTGACAAGATCTGATATATTGTCCGGCCTTCATTATAACTTCATCATCTACAGTCGTACACTGTGCTTTGGACATGAAGTTTCATCTTTTACATATATCTCCTCCTGTGCCATATCCATCTTTAAGTGAGCGTCAATGGTAGAAACAAAATTCAACACTTTCTTTATTTTGTACAACTTTTTAATATTATTTCCTAAAAGTGATATCCACCATATACATATACATAAATGTCTGGTTCGTTTTTTAAGATGTTAAATGTGTTATTTTGAACAAGGCTCACTAAATTTTATGGCTCAATTTTACATTGTTAGGCCTTTCATCAACGGATGTAAGAAAATGGCACATCTTGGGATCTCTCTAATTTTTTTCAGAAGACAAAATATTATGCCTCATCATCATATCTGTAATTTGTGTAATATATATATATATATATATATATGTGTGTGTGTGTGTGTATGTGTGTGTGTATGTGTCATAGACGGACCAAGAGGGGTGGTTAGGTGCCATCATATTGTTCCTCCGTGGTAAAGTAAAAAAATTTAAGTTCGTGAAAGGTGCTACCGTTTTATTGTAGAAGGTGCAACTGTTTTATATGGTGTCACCGTATCAAAAAATTATTGGGTCCGTCCCTGGTGTGTGTGTGTGTGTGTTAGTTATTTGGCAGCGTAGTTAAAAGTTTAGATGCAACAGGGCTTCCAAAAAGATTGGAACGTCCCTCATAAATGTCAATGTGTGTATATCCACACAAATACATACACACATATGTAGAGTTGGTTTATTATGCAACCAATCACATTGTTACAATCACTACAAGCACATCTTAACCATCCATGATTGCATCTACACTCAGAATTTGATTAACGGAAACTCGTTAATAATAATTGAATTTTTAGTTTATTTATTAAAAAATAAGAGCAATTAGGGGTAATTTAAGAATAATAAGAATAGAGAATCATGGTTTATTTTAAGATACCTAAAGGGAAATCAGCTTCATCAACATACTCTACTCATGATGAACGAAATTTGTTTCGTGTTCATATTGTTCGGTGTTTAATAAAATTGTATGTGAAATATGTTTAATGAACGTGTGTTCAGAGATTTCATGCATAAGTTTGATCATAATGAATGTCATTGCACCATTGATTATCGCATTGAGCATGAATGTAATGAACAATGAATAGTGGTTCATCATTTTTCACATATGCATTTTATATTTTGATCATTGGTTGTATCAATGTTAAAATGGTTCATCAGGTTTTGAAGTATACCATAAACCGGTGAGATTGGTATGATGATGAAGATGTCAATCATTGCCGGAAACAGTTACAAACTAAAAATAAATTTAAAATATCAATCCCAATCCATTAGAATTTTCTGCGTAAAAACAAAAAAAAATTAAAAAATGTCTACAATAATAGATTAGACGAAATTGTCCTTGACATAAAAAACCTGAAAAAATTAAAAACAATCAACGGTTTAAATCTGGTTGTATCAGTTGTAACAATAGCATTAGTTGTATTTGAAATCCTACCCTAAAATATTGTTGTTGGAAAACATAAATATCAAACATTGGTTTTAATTTTGATTACTTAGTAATAGCATATGTTCTTCTCTATCAATTGTGTCCCTTGGTGCCATTTTCATTAACGGTGAAGATTGCGTAACAGAACTTTATTAGTGAATTGACGTTCTTCTTGTCTCGATCTCATTGGCAGAGACGTGGTAGATTAAATTTCGGGATTTTAAATCTCCCTAATTTAATTAATGATTTGATTACTAAATACCCCTAATTTTCAAACTTTTAAATCTATACGTCGGAATTTTGAAACTAATTTCAGTTATGCCATCATTTAAAATGAATGGTAGATGAAATGGATTGGACGGTCGTGATTGGTTCATAAAATTTCTAATTTTTACGTGGTTTGTAATTGATTTGCCACACACATACACACACACATATAGAGAGAGAGAGATATAGATATACGCGAAATATCGTGTGAGAAGGAGAGTTAAAGTGAGAACATAAGAAGGGATCTGGACCATTAATCATTTTTATTCTCAAACTCACCCATGAATCGCGTTTGATACGGTAATTGATCTAGTGCATCTCGGTGCATCTCATCTTCGTGCATCTCATCCTAATATGCATCCAAGGGTGGAGATTATTCTTATGATTCTCAATAGGAATGGCAACGGGCAGGGTTCGGGCCGGTTTTTCGTATCCCCGTCTCCGGAACCGATAACTAAAACCGCCATAACCACCCCGATCCCCGTTGGGGATCTTATCACGAATCCCCATCGGGTCCCCACGGTTTCCCCGATCCTCATTAAGGGTAAAAATCCCCATTTTTCCATTGGTTTCCTCATTCGTTGTTGGTTATACCCAAACCCGATACCTGAACTGATCTGAAATAAATTAAAAAATATGTTAATTTTCACAACTAAAAGTAAATTACATTTTTTTTAAGATATAAGTCTAAATGTATCAAACATAATCAAACCGATTATAATATAAAAGTAAACAGATATTCAAACATCATACAACTAATATCATGATTTTACGATTAGACATATTTGAGGTGTTGATGAAAGTGAATAAAAGTCTTTTAATTTTTAAAGTTAATATTTTCTTTTAATGATATTATATATATATATATATATATATATACATATGTGTGCGTATATAAATTAATATTAATATATAAACACATAACAGGTCGGATCGGGCCAGTGATCACCGTCTCCACCCCCGTCCCCGACTACGTTAAAATCCCTGAATATGTCCCTGATTC